GGATCAGTGCTCAAAGTACAGGGTTATATGCTGGCATCCCATTTCAGTCGATCTAATTCAATAGGAGGAGGTGTTTGTATACTAGTTAAAGATGATATAGATTATATTGAACGAAACGATTTAAACGCTATGTCCATAGAACCTATAATTGAAATATGTGGAATAGAAATACCAGTTTCAAATTTATTAGTCATAAATGTATACTGGCCAAATAGTAACAGAATGCCTGATACCTTTTACAGTGTATTAGAAAAGCTCTTACAACGAATTCAGCAAAAAAATTCTAAAACAAACGTTGTAATAGGTGGAGACTTTAACGTAGATGTGTTAAAACAAAGTATATCGACTGTAAGACTTTTAAATTTAATGCGTAGTTATAATTTCTATCAACATGTTCAAGAACCAACGAGGGTAACAGAGACTACATCCTCATGCCTAGATTTAACATTCACAAATTTTGATGTCGAACAAGTCGTAATTAATGTTGTAGAGTTGAGTCTCTCTGACCACAAAGGAGTTATAGTAAATATACCAATAAAAGAAAGAAACATACTCGTGCGTAATACGTGGATTCTAGAAAAAAGAATCTTTAGTGAAAAAAATATCCAACATTTCAAAGCTAAATTAAGAGAAGTAAACTTTAGCAAAATAATTACTACTGATAAAAACATTAATGAAAATTATAACTCATTTTGTAATAAAATTAATCATATATTAAATTAAATTATGCCAAAAATTCTCATAAAAATAAGAAGCATAAAGAAAAAGCCATGGTTAACCAATGGAATCAAAACATCGTGCAAAAATAAAAGACTCTTAAAAAAAATATTATCTCAAACAAAAAATCCAGTACTAAACAAGTATTATAAAAATTACTCAAAAATACTTAAAAAAATTGTAAATATTTCAAAAAAAGAACTATAATATTAAAAGAATAAAGAATTCTGATAATGTAATAAAATCAATGTGGAATGTTGTAAAGGAACAAACTAATAAGCTTACACAAAATAAAAAGAACATAGAACTGAATGTCCAAAATAGTATCACTGCGGACCCTGTTCAAATAGTTGAGTGTTTCAATAATTTCTTTTTGTCGGTTGGTAATGATAACAATACTTTTGGCACAACAGGTGCAATCGTTCAGCCTGTCCTTCATCCCGTAAAGAATTCATTCTTTTTACAACCCGCTACTAATCAAGAAATTATAAAATGTATACGTAATTTAAAAAACAAGCGTAGCTTCGGTCATGATGACTTACCGCCTTGTCTAATTAGGCAATGCGCCGAAGAACTAGCCCCAGTTATGACATTCCTGATAAATCAATCTTTACAGAAAGTAAAGTTCCAGACCAATTAAAAATTTCAATAATTAAACCACTCTATAAAAAAGGCTCTAAAACTGAGTGTAACAACTATCGCCCTATTGCTATTCTTCCAACGTTTTCAAAAATATTTGAATCCGTTATGGCTAATAGACTATACTGTTACTGCGAAAAGTTCAATATATTAAATGACAATCAATATGGCTTTCGCAAAAACAGAACAACAACTACAGCAGTATACAAATATGTCAATGAAATATTAAATTTATTTAATAAAAAGAAATACGCGATCGGTATTTTACTGGACATGACCAAAGCCTATGATCGAGTTCGATTTGACATACTTTTACGGAAGTTACACGGAATAGGAGTAAGAGGCCCAACATACAACTGGTTCGAATCATACCTGACCAATCGAAAGCAGTGTGTAGAGATAGAACACCATAACCTAGCCAGTGGAAATGTGATTAAAGTCAGGTCTCAATTTGCACCGGTCACTAAATCAATACCACAGGGTAGTGTTCTCGGTTGTTTATTATTTTTAATTTATATTAATGATTTGCCGAAAATAGTCAAAGCCCCCTGTACCTTGTTTGCCGACGATCTTTCTGTAGTCATACCTTTCGACAATAATACTAACAACAATCTTAACAACTGTCTAGATAGTGTACTTACAGATATCTCTAAATGGTTAAAAAATCACAATCTCGTCATAAATTACACAAAAACTAAGATAATACAATTTAAGCCGTATCAAAAATGCCCCCTATCTATAAATTATTCTTACAGCGATATTAAACTAGAATGTGTTGATTCATATACATTATTAGGTATAAACATAGATTCAGGTATAAATTGGAAAGAACACATAAAGAAAGTATCATCTAAACTTTCCCGTTTCTCGTATGCACTATACGAACTTAAAAAAGTTACAGATTCAAGAACAGCCACGTGTGCATACTATGCTTATGCCCATGCGTGGCTCAAGTACGGCATTTTACTGTGGGGAAACAGCACAGACGTAAATAAATTGTTCATTTTACAAAAAAAAATGTATCCGAATAATTACAAACATAGACAGCAGTGACAGCTGTAAACCATACTTTATTTCATTAAAAATATTAACAATTACATCTATATATATACTATAAGTATGCACATTTGTTAAAAAGAATATGCACCTTTTTTTCAATATACTCCCGGCCTCATTTTTTACGTCCTAGTATAAAATTAGCTCCACCTATCACAAAATTACAAACAGTTAAATCAGGACCCCATGGTATGTGTGTAAAAATTTATAATAAAATTCCCAAATGTCTACAAAAAGAAGAATCGTTGTATAAATTTCAAAGAGAGCTTAAAAAATATTTAATTGAAAAAAAGTTTCTATTCGTTGTCAGAGTTTTTCGGTGAAAAATAATAATTGTTTATTTTGAATATGTATACCTACCTCTTTAATATCGTTGTAAATATTGCAAATGTTTATTTAACCTAAAAGTAATGTAGTAGTTTAAGTAAGTAGTTTAAGTAAATAAAATAAAATTAGTCTTTTTAAATTAATAAGAATAAATTGATATATAACATAATATAATATAATATTGCTACGCCCTATCAGGGCTCATGTTTGGCTCTAATATATCCAACTTAAGAACTATTTATGTAACCACATGAACGCAATAAAATGTTTGTGTTTGAGTTTGAGTTTAGAACAATAAAACTAGAACTTACTTTTCACTTCTTTTTTCACTCCGAGGCTTCGATTCCTTGGCTGTGGAGCAAATTACATAGCTCTTCGTACTTTTGTATACACCACTGTAGTCCGTGCACTAATTCTGTGCTTTCTATTAATCACCATTCCCTAGAAATAAACAATAATCTTTGTTTAACAGAATGAATCAATATCAATAGATAATGTATACACAGACTGAAAAATAATCCAAACTCATGTTTTAATATAGTTACTTACTTTTACATGAAATCTACTATTGTTGTAAACTGTGTGGCTAGTTCTTGACATCATTATGAAATTCAGCAAAAATTAACTAAAACCAATCTAAAATACAAAACTATTAAAACAACACGAAGCGCGAAGTCAAATGTTTATCTTAAGAATGTCGCGTTCGGAAATCACAATTCATAAAACGTGAAACATGGTTTTATAAACATAAAAATGTTCCTCCGTAAATAATTATACAAGCAGTATTTTGTTAATTAACTGTTTTAAATTACAAGTTTTAAGTGACCAGGATTAAGAAAGGAATGCTTCGGTGGTTTGGTCATGTGGAAAGAATGAATGAGGAAAGAGTGACAAAGAAAATTTATGTTGCAGAAGTGAATGGCAGAGTCGGAAAGGGACATCCTAGGCGAAAATTTATCGGCCAAATTGGCGATTTATTGAAAACGGGCCAAATTAGGAGTACCCTTAACCGACGAGCATGTATGCGTAGGTGTATGGATGTGAAGGAGGCGAGAGAGGTGTGTCAGGATCGTGCCAAATGGAAGTCTGTAGTCTCTGCCTACCCCTCTGGGTGACAGGCGTGAGTGTTTATGTTATGTTATGCATATTTTTCTTATTTTTACACACAGTAAAAGACTCTACAACTACAATAATATCAATTTAATAGTAGTTCGTTTTAATATTGAGTCACAAGGTTTGTTTACATATAGTTACAATATAGTATCGAGTACACGTGAGTAAGAGATAAGCGTTCGTGCTGCCGATGACTGTAGCCACAGTTTGGTAAAAGTTTTCGCTTAGTTGACTCGATACGAATTCTTGACGCAATTGTTTATTATTCGTGCTCGGGGTACAGATAAAATGTACATTAAAAAAACCAATATAAGAAATATGTGTCTGAGGTGACCTTCAAAACCACAACCTGTTCATATTAAATAAAAAAAAATAAAAATTTCATATATTAAAAAATATTAAAATAAAATATTAAAAAGCATATTATGTAAATACTTTCTAATATTCTGATTTAATAAATTGTTTAAAAAATTTCGAAGTCTTGTGTTAACATACATGACATATCCAAATGCCACATTCAATTTTTCATAAATCATTGAATAATCGTCGAGTCAACCAAACTCCATTTCTCCGCTCGAGGGCGCTAGATTCTTTACCATTCTAACCATTCAACCGAATTTGAACTTGATGCAGTATGGCAAACTTTAGTTCCTTTTTTCGCCACCCGCAAAACAGAGAAATAGAATTTACTACTGCGGACGTCTCAAAAATGGACACTATTGCACCTATTGCGTATTTACATTAAAATTTTGAAAAAATTGCACTTTATCCTCATTTTGATGTACTAAAACTGTGAACGATGAACAATTAAACATATTTTAACACAAAACTGACAGTCAACACTAAAATTTTACGTACATTTCAAGTCAACTTTCCTCAACCAGCATGTTAGTTCTAAGATAGCAGTTTGCTTCATACATATTAAAAAACGATTTTACACGTACTTAATAAGATAAAACACAAAATGAGATTACAAATAAGAAGGTTACTTACCCAGGCATTGTTTTAACACAATTCACCACACAATAAATATAAATTAATACAAAATAATTACAAACAACTTCGTTGTTGGCGCGCGTCAATCACACTAATGGCAGACTCAAGGAATGGACGACATTTAAGAATGATTTAAATAAAATATACTACACCTCAGGTTGCGCTCGGTTTCACGCGTGTGCTTGCGCTGTGCAGCGCGCTCCGCCAGCTGCGCGTGCGCCAGGTCCAGGTCCCCAGCGGCACCGCGCAGCCCTAAACGCGCCTGCGCGCGCGACCAGCCCAGCTCCATGAGCCGCCCCACCGCCACCTCATCCACCTGGACAAACGTATATTTACGTGGCGGAGCGTTGGTGCAGCTATAATATGCTTGTAGCACGAATGAATCGCTTCGACAGGGGTAGGACCACGCGACCACTGAATACCAACGTAAAACCTTAACCCACCGGCACACAACCATAAAATACATTTACGTAGGCGGTCCCATAATGAATTGGCCTAACTATGAACCAATGAAGGAAATGAAACGAAACCAATTTTATTTTTCAATATAATCACCATGAATACTAACACACTTCTGACATCTGTGAATCAACATCTCTAAACCTTTATAAAAATAATCACATTTTTTATCCTCAAAATGACTGAAGACGGCCGCCTGCAACTCTTCATCGCTTGAAAATTTTCTTCCTTTTAAGTCCCGCTTTAAATTTGGAAATAAATAATAGTCGGACGGGGCTATGTCTGGACTGTAAGGTGGATGTTGAACTTCTGTGAACCCGCATTGACGAACTGCATCCTTCGAAACACCAGCGGTATGAACAGGGTTGTTGTCATGGAGCAACAGGACACCTTTAGACAGCTTGCCTCTTCGTTTTTCCTTTATCTTGTCTCGTAATTTATATATTAAAGAAGCATAATATTCGCAGTTCACGACTGTATTACGTTCTTTAAAATCCACCATCAAAATGCCTTGAAAATCCCAAAATATTGTGCACATCAGTTTTTTAGTCGATTGTTGCACCTTTGCCTTTCTAGGGGGCTTTTCACCCTTATAACGCCATTCCATTGACTCGCGCTTGCTTTGTGGATCATAATACAAGATCATAGTTTCATCACCAGTCACTAGCCGCTCGATCACAGTCTTTGGATTTTCGCCACAAAGATCCAAAAACTCCGAAGCGCAGCGCACTCTTTCCTGTCTCTGTACCGCTGAAAGAAGTTTCGGTACCCATCTTGCACTCACTTTTTTCATGTGAAGATGTTCATGGATCGCGCGATGAACGGTACTCTTAGAGAGCCCAAGCCTTGCTGCAATTTCTCTAATCTTCAAACGGCGGTCACTCAGAACCTCCTCTTCGATAAGAGCAATCGTTTCGGGAGTGAGCACTTCCACAGGTCGACCGTCGTGGCCAAAGTCTTCGACGGTTTCTCTCCCGAGGCGAAACTCTTTCACCCAATTTTTCACTGTGCTATAGGAGGGGGCAGACTCCTTATACACGCCATCCAATCGTTCTTTTATTTGGGCAGGGGATAAACCTTCTTTAAACAGAAACTTTATGACACTTCGATACTCAGTTTTCGACATTTTGAAAAAATACGCGACTCGTTATTCAAATGCCTGTTAAACTAAGACTAAGCATTTCATGTCGATGCATGTTTCTTACATTAAGTGCACGATAAACGTACTATTTAATGCAACACAACATATAGCGACATGTCGCGTTGAACTATATCAGGCCAGTTCATTATGGGACCGCCTGGTACATAATAGACCACCGCTGCAGCTATATTACTGTTACACGAGTGGATTAGCTCTACCAGGAAAGAAAATCCAACTCTATGTCCTAGGTTAAATATATCGATGTTTACTCACAAAAATATGGATATATATCGTCGATATTTTATTCGCGATATAACAATGTCCGATAATTATTTTAGAGTATCGAATTCGTATCAATTTCGGTATATTTTAATATGATATATTTATTTAAACAAAATTAAAAGTTGTTTAGTTTTTTTTCGTCATCCAAACGTCCAGTAACATAATTTAAAAATATCGATATTTTTAATCACAATATCGAACTACACATACCTAAGCACTTACAAAGGAACTTATGTACTGTTTTTTTTGTCGTCAAAACGTCAATTAAGAAATTTTTTGCTACTAATCCGGTTATATCATGCAAAACATGACGATGTATCAATATTTCTCAAACTATATATATCGATACTGCTTAAATATCGATACCATATATATATATATCGATATAAATTTTTTTCACTTGCCCTTCCCACTATGCCCCGAGCTACTGCTAAGTCGTCCAACTACACAACTATATATTTACGTAGTAGGACGCTAGATCCACCGGGGAAGCAGCACGCCATCGCTAAATAGCAACGTAAAATCCTAGTTCATCTACGAATAGCCGTATTATAAATTATAATACATTTACATGGTAGACAAATATCCCCCCTATGAGTCAATGGGGAGGGCCTTTATTCAACAGTGGATTTGAATACACTGTATCGGTAATGGTAACGTAGTAGAGTCATGCTGCAGCTATATTACACACGTATCGTGACGGGCAACAACGGAACACTACCTCTACATTGTTGCGTGGCCCGACACTCACTTGGCCGGTTTTCTGTTAAATGGTGCCTCAATATAATCCAAAATATACTAAGAAAACACAGTTTAAGGCACTAACCCTCAAAGCATTCAACTCTTCCTCTGCTTTCTCTAGCAGCAACTTTGCTTCGGTTCTTTTGTTTTGATGAAATGCCACAATCCCTTGTAACAGGTACAGCCTCATAAGTAAAACACGTTCGTTCGCTGAAAACAAAACATTTAGGACGTGCAATAATTAAAATAGTATACAATGGGTAAAGTAAATCTTCATAACCCACTACTCATGAGAGAAAATCTGTGCCCAGCTGTGGGACGTATACAGGGTTATTTTGCAATACACGCCCAAATTCGCAAAGAAGGTTCATTAATTAAATTGTTAATTAAATTACTTATTAATATAGGCGAATGGTGAAGAAAAATTAATTTAAAAATATCAAATAATCTGTGTTTTTTTATCAGAATGCGCGGTAATGTGTTATTTTAACTGATTGTCATCCTAACTATTTAACTACGCACGCACAACCCTTATGCTGTGTGCGTGCGTGCGCGTGTGCGTGTGCGTGTGCGTGTGTGTGTGTGTGTGTGTTTGTATCGCTCATTCCCCATATCGTCCCATGGGTTTCGTAAGAGGCGACAGAGGGAAATTGTAAAGGTTATGGGCAGCAGTATGTAACTAATAATAACTGAATAAAAAACTGCGGTTCCCAGCTCACCTGCCAAGTATGGCAACTATAACAAAATCTCCCCTATGAGTGAGACAATCTATGGAGAAGGCATATGTTTAGGAGTGAACTTTTATAGGCCCTAAAGGAGACTGTATACTAGTTTGGAATAAAATGCAACCTAGAAACAACGTACAGCGACGATTAGAGACGCTTCACTTACTCACACACTTCAAGAGATGCAATGTTGATGTAAGAATATACATTAACCCAAATAATTCTGTGGGTGCCGTATGAGGCGAGAGAGGTAAGTTGAACTAGGAGATGGGCAGCAGCATCTTCCTGATAACAACGCAATTAAAAAAATCTGCGGATGCCAACCTACTTGCCAAGCGTGGCAACTATGGCGAATAACCCCCCTATGAGGGATCTACAAGCTTACTCTTGAATCCAATAACAATTTCGATCCAATCTCAATTTCAATCCGATGCCAATCTAATTTTGACAAATTACCGTACTCTTGAAAACAATTTTGACAACATTGGATTGAATTCGGACCGCTAAAGTCATAAAAAACCCTTTGTAACTTTCATAAACGAGCTTTTAAGTAGTACAAATACTTAATAAATGGTGTAATTCGTCAAACATAACATCTCTTCATAGAGTTCTTATAAAAAAAAACGCTATATTTGCGAGTTTTAACTAATTATAAGGCTGTATAGGAGCGTGCCTTTGCCTCATTTTTTGTTGTCAGAAAAAAATTGTTATCACGACGATCATGAAACAAAGTAAACAAATATCAACTTTCGAAGAACTCTTTTTTAAGTTTTAAAGCTGAAATGCTTTTTAAGTATGTGTACTGTGAATTACTAATAGCCCTTTCAATTTGGGTATAACTATAAGTAGTTTGAAATATCATTCCCACAATAACACAATTAAGCATCATATGAAACAAACGAACTGGGCACTGTTAGCTAATTAGAAGGAACAAAATGATTTCTTAAATTTACGCGAACACTACACATTGAATAAAACTAAATTTACGGATTCTATCGCGTTTATTTAACTGATTTTACTTATTTTTTATTCCCGACGTTTCGGGTGCTTTACAGCAACCATGGTCACGGGGGTACTGAGATGTTTGACGTCCCAATGTCATTGTTAGCCCGTAAATAAACGCGATAGAATCTCTAAATTTAGTTTTTATTTAATAGAAGGAACAAAATAAATAATAATGGTCAAGGATAGTCTATAAGTATAACAACGTTTTTTAAGAAATTTGTAAGTAGATATGTTTTTTAATTTGGGCACAGGAAAAAAGCAATTTCTGGCCTGTTGAACAACATTAAACTAGGGATTGATAGCAGTCACAGGTGGTCAAGTGTTGCTTTTGGAGACTCAACTTACAATTAACCTTTCTCACTACTTAGTTATTACAAATAACAATGTTGATTCGTTAACTTCTCAATATTGTTGTGTGGCATCTAATAATAATAACTATTTTTTACTCATTTTTAAAGACAGATATTTTAATATTATTTTATTTTTCTAGGAATATCTAATGGATAGGCTAGGGCCACGGCACCAAATGGGCCAACAGCCGGTTGATTTCATGGAGAAGAGAGACTCTTTATGATGAACTTTATCTTCCAGAAACGGCCACATAGAAAGTGGTCTTGGTCGAGTCTCTACATACAGTTTGATAAAAATAAATAACTTGCAATATGTATGCCTTACACTCAAGTGGTAAAAAGGTAATCCATCATTTTTTAATTGCAATAATTTACTTAAATTGACTTCAAATGTGTTATCACTTAGTGTAGAGAATATAGATGTTTCAATAAATTTTAAACATCCTATTAAATGGCCTGTGATGGATTAAAATTTTTAATTCAAATATTCCACCTTAATTTTGTCTGTGTACTTTTGTACTTTTAACGTGGCCCATTTTCAAAAATTGGCAATTTGGTCGATAAACTTTGTGTAGTGCCCCATTCACTCTATTCCCTGCATTTACTCGTCGTTCTATATCCCTATTATATCTACCATCCCTGCTAAATACACATCTCAAATACACAAACTCATCCACTTGCTCAATTAACTCTCCTTCTATTCTTATTTCACATACCGTTTTGCTTTTCTCTCTTTCAAAAACCATCACTTTCGTCTTACTTGCGTTCACTTTCATTCCCCTTTCTTTTAATGCCCAGTTCATTAATGTAACCATCATTTGCAACTCAGCCGCCGATGACGCAAATATGACTTGATCATCGGCATACAAAAGGCATTTGACGGTTAACTCGCCAATTCTTAACCCACATTCTTCATCTTTCAAAGTTTGCAAACACCTGTCCATAAATAGGTTGAACAGCCAAGGGGAAGCCACACAGCCCTGTCTGACACCTTTTCGGATGCCAAACCAGTCCGAGTAGACCCCATTGATCCTGACACAAGCACTAGAATCCCTATAAAGAGACCTCAATGCCTGTATCAAACCAGCGCTCAACCCATATGAGTTCAGTGTTTGCCATAACACATTCCTGTCCACTCTGTCATAAGCCTTTTCCAAGTCTATGAACGCACAAAAAAACTTTCTGATTTTTAGCCAAAAACTTCTCCGCAATCATGCGCATGGAAAAGACTTGATCTGTACACCCCATTCCCTTTAAAACCCACTTGCACATCCCAATATTTTTCCATCAGTTTCTTTCATAACTCTTTCAATTAACACTTTAGCATACAGTTTACCCACAATACTAAGCAAGCTGATACCACGGTAGTTTTTGTAGTCCTGCTGTGACCCTTTTCCTTTATATATTGGTACTATAACTGCTTTACACCAGTCATCCGGTACCCGTTTTAATTCCCAACACAAATTAAAAAAGGTGTACAGCAGGCCTGCCACCACTCCCTCTCTAGCCCTTAGCATCTCGAGTGATACTCTATCATATCCAGCTGCCTTACCTGCTTTCATGCTTTTCATTGCTTTCATTATTTCATCTACACATATCTCCATACCCCTTTCCACTTCTTTCGGAATTTCTTGTTCATTTAATTCAGACGACTCTTCACTCATAAACATGCTTTCAAAGTATTCCTTCCATCTGTTTAAATTCGAAACTTCATCATTCAGAATACATCCATTCTCGTCTATTACAGCATTAATTAAATTCTAGTGTGAAAAGTAAGAATGTGTCAAAAAAGGCACATATGGCAATTCTATGCTGTGTTAGTCCCTATTTTAACATATGGTAGTGGAAGTTGGGTGTGGCAGAAGAAGCACGAAAGCCGAATAAACGCAGTAGAAATGCGGTCGTTAAGGAGTATGTTAGGGCTGAATCTGATTGAGAGGGTGAGAAATTGTGTGATAAGAGTGTGGTTTGCAAAATGATGTGACCAGAATTAAGAAAGGAATGCTTCAGTGGTATGGTCGATTGGCGATATATTGAAAATGGGCCAAATTAAGGGTACCCTTAACCGACGAGCATGTAATTGTAGGTATAATGATGTGGAGGAGGCAAGAAGTGTGTCAGGATCGTGCCAAATGGAAGTCTGTAGGCTTTGCCCACCCCTCTGAGTGACAGGCGTGAATGTTTATGTTGTGTTAAGTTATATGTTATTAAAATTACGTTAGCTATATAATTTTATTTTTAATTCTTATAAAATTATACATTTATTATATTTATATTTCCTTTACGTGTGAAACCCGCCAATAAACCTCTCTGATATGATAACAGACCTCTGCCCAGCAATGGAATGCTTTAGATCATACTTGAGATATCTAAACAATCCTCTTTAAACCTTTGCGCCACCTAACTATTTAAAATATTTCTTCTACCAAACAACCACTTTAAAACGAATTAAAAATAAAGGATGTAACACTTTGTCAATAATAATTCATTTCATTCATAAAATATTGTTACGCGCCTAAGTCGACGTCATGTACCCGGCACTAGCGCCATCTAGTTAGTAGGGGAGCTTTCCAGAAATTGACATTTTACGCGTCTCGAAACGAAGAACTAAGCTTCTAGAAGTCGACACTCGAACTCTCGGCCCCTTGCGCGTGTTTACTTGAATATTCTGGATGTTTCGGTGCTAATTTGTATTTATAGGCGCTGCAAGACGCGATCGGGGAAGTATTGAATTTGGCGAGACAAGCGAAGCTTCGGAGCGAAATAAAGCGAATCAGTGTGATTATTTATTAGTGTTTTAAGTTTTAATTGGTGTAAATAAAATTAAAGTGTTAATTTAGGTAATCCTATCGGCAATTTTTATTGTCACGAACCTCAAGCTCGTAACAATTGGTGTCAGAAGTGGGATCCGTGAGGATGCTCAGGACAGACCACCTCAGCAACGAGTGGAAGGACAGCCTAAGACATGCACAGCAGGAAGATCCGGACATCAAGCTGATTCTGGAATGGATGAAGGCCGTGATACCAAGCCTAAGTGGAGTGACGTCTCAGCGATGAGTTCAACCACGAAAAGCTATTGGGCCCAGTGGGACAGCTTGCTGATTCAGGATAGAGTCCTGTGCCGTAAATGGGACAATGGTCGAGGAGACAGCTGTCGTTTGCAAATGGTTGTCCCTAAAGCTAAAGTGCCGAATGTTCTACAGCTGTGCCATAATGGTCGTTCAAGAGTCCATCTGGGAGTTAAACGAACTCTACTGAAGGTCCGAGAACGGTTTTACTGGGTCCATTATCGTGACGATGTCGAGGATTGGTGTCGTAAATGTACAAGTTGAGCGGCTGTGAGGGGACCGCAGACACGTAGTAGAGGAGCATCGAAATTGTACAACGTTGGTGCACCACGGGATAGGACAGCCCTTGACATTGCGGAGCCGTTATAGAAAGGCGCAAGAGGGACTCCAAGATCGTCCATGCGGATCGCTTGGCGCGTTATTATGGGTCCGATAATGCTCGGGACGAGCATGTCTTAGGAGGGGGCAGTGTTGAATTTGGCGAGACAAGCGAAGCTTCGGAGCGAAATAAAGCGAATCAGTGTGATAATTTATTAATGTTTTAAGTTTTAATTGGTGTAAATAAAATTAAAGTGTTAATTTAGGTAATCCTATCGGCAATTTTTATTGTCACGAACCTTAAAGAAATACGAACCTTAAAGAAAAACGAAACTTAAAGAATAACCAAAAGATTAATATAAACACAATTCCTAAAACGTTACTGTTTTGCTATTGCCTTAATTCCAATTCCAACGCAATATCAAACGCAATAAGCTGCTGTCAACTAACTGTCAAAAGTGCGTCGGGAGCGGGAGCAAAGATTTTGCTTGGACAATTTCAATTCCAATCTCAATTAGTTCACACAATCACCACGCAATACTAAACTAATTTAGCGCTTGAGTCGCTTTCAAGAGTACCAAACGTTATAATTTCAACCCTGATCGATCGGAATTATTTTCAAGAGTAAGCCTACTATTTCCACATGCGTCTTTTAACAACTATGTTGACTTTAAATTTTGTAATAAGTGAAATGTATCAATGCTGTTGGTATTCCGAAAAAACTGTGGGAAGTGTATGTTCAGCAGTAGAATTGTGTTAAGTCACCTTTGAGGACTAAGATGGAATGTGAGGTAAAATGATGGAATGAGAATACAGGCTGTATTTGCTCTCACCGATAGTGCTCTTAATCGACAGCAGGTGTTGGTCTCTACCGTAGCTATTGCTCAGCACTAGCTCGGCTGCGACTAGGCACACTTCACTCACTCACTCAATCAATTACTCACTCACCGGTAGTGCCCTTAACTGCCAGTAGGCGGTGCTGGTCCCTGCCGTAGCTGTCGCTGAGCGCTCGCTCGGCGGCGGCCAGGCGATGTGCAGCATCAGAGGCCGCGCCTACGCTTCGTAGACCGGCGTAGCACCACGCGATGTCCAGCTGGAGGATGCCCCAGTTGTCCACGGTCTGCAGCAACGACGAACGGCACTCGCTGCGAGTGGATGGAATTTTTTTTATTAAAATTTTTATAAAAGACCTTTTTTTAGAGAATAAGAGTGACAAACGAACTCAGTCTACATGATGGTTAGTGGATGCTATGGCCCATGGACATCTAATCTTCGATTAAGAATCAAAATGCAGATGCGTTGCTTCTTCTGAGGACTGAGATAGAATGCCTCGTTTTTAGTAAAAATGCTCTCCGGTTCCTCTACACTCATCATACGCAATAAAGCAGCATTGAACTGCTATTTTACGCTAAATCTGTGAGAGCGTGGTCCCACCCCAGTCGAGCCGACACGCATTCGCGCTACAACCATAATATAGCTGCAGCGTGGTTCTACTACGTATACCCTACATTAGAATGTCCTCTTGTATCGTGTATCGTTAATACATGTTCCGTGCGGGGTACGAATCCACGACCCTCAGCACCGCAACTCATTGTTAAGCCAATGCGCCATGGAACGGAATGCAGAATTGGCGAGACACAAGTTAGTCTTCTTTCGGAAACACAAGCGTTCTGGTCTCTCGCCAAGGCTGTCCAAGGGAACTTCTGTCAGCCATCTCTCCCATCTCTGCATAAGGAGACGACTCACTGGCCCATGCCGCAAACAAGGACAAAGCCGATCTGCTGGGCTCTCTCTTTGCGGCCTACTCGATTCTTGATGACGGGGGTAACACACCGCAGACCATCCCCCGGTGTGAGTGCTCCATGCAGGACGTGCTGTTTAGCCAGCGCTCGGTGCGCAGAGTACTCCTCGCCTTGGACATCAACAAGTCGAGTGGACCTGATGGCGTCCCACCCATTGTGCTGAAGACGTGTGCTCCGGATTTGGCACCGGGTTTAACGCTCCATCTAGCCTATCGCGATCACCTCCTTGTTTTCCAAAATAACGAGATACATTATAAACTGCCAGCTCATGAGGTACCTTGAAGATCACCAGCTGATTAGTAACCGTCAGTACGGTATCCGTGGGGGTCGCTCAACTGGTGATCTTCTGGATTACCTAACTCATGATGGACAGAAGCAGTAGGGTGCTAAGGGGAGTCGTTGGCCGTTTGTTTGGACAAAGCGAAGGTCTACGATCGGGTTTGGCACAAAGCGCTTCTTACGAAGCTTCCTTCCTATGGGCTTCCCGAGAATTTGTGCAATTGGATCACGAATTTTCTTGCATCGAAATATCAATGTCGTAGTAGACGATGTACACTGCGATTATAAGCCCATTAACGCCAATGATTTGAATATCAATGATATGTTGCAAACCGGTGACATTCATTGCGACGACAGCACTGGTGATGCTTTATACACTGGTCATGCCAATATTTCTCGTGAAAACGTCGCCAAGTACTTGGACAAACTTGTGTGTCGTACTTGTGAAGTCGAGTCTTTGCCGAACAAAGTCTCGGATTGGGGGTGACTAAATCTAGTCCAGTTCAATCCCCAGAAGACAAAAGTTTGCGCGTTTACCACTAAAAAGAACCCTTTTGTTCCAGCCTCCGCTGGCAACGGACGCCTCGGCGTCGACATATCGAGTGACGTGCAGTTTCGTGATCACTTTGAAGAGAAGGCCAAATTGACCTCTAAAAAGCTTGGCGTGCTCTGCTGAGCACAATTCGATTAGAGATTAGAGGTCAATTTGACGAGCGGGACAGTATTTCACACCGTTTGCAACTTTACAAGGCGCAGGTTCGGCTGCACATGGAATACTGTTCCCATCTCTGAGCTGGGGATCCCCAGTACCAATACTTCCATTCGATCGCATCCAGTGCTCTTACCGATCGGCTTGACTCACTGGTACTACAAAGAGATGTTGCATCTTTTTGCGTATTTTATCATTTACCACTGGAGTGTTCTAAAAAACTGTTCAGACTAATTCCAGCCGCACAATTTCACCATCGCACATCGCTACAAAACTCGCCATACCATCTATACCATCTGGATGACTGGCAGTCCACCACTGTGCGATTTAGAAGACGTTTTCTTCCTCACACAACTTCCTTGTGGAATCGACTACCACCAGAGATTTTCCGGACCGATACGACTTAGGAACTTTCAAGAAAAGAGCCCTCTCCTTTTTAAAAGGCCGACAACGCATCTGCGACTCCCCTGGTGTTGCAGTTGTTCATGGGCGGCGGTAATCACGATCAGGTAATCGTTTGCCACCACTCCTATAACAAAAAACCGGTAAATATTTTGGTTCGACGAAAAGATATTTTGTTGTATTATAAAATGTTACCGATGCAGTCAATGAGCATATCTACTTTTTGTTTATTAGCGCGCCCGTGTTAACGACGCCGCTGTGAGCTGTGACATAGTGAAGTGTTAGGCGTAAGTGCAAAAATAAATGTAGAAAATAAGTATATCTTATTAATAGATAAGGAGAAGAGTTATACGTTGTAGAGAGATGTTGCTGCTATATTATGGTTGTAGCACGAATGGATCGGCTTGACCGGGAACCACTCTCTTACAGAATGCCAGCGTAAAACAGCAGCCGAATGCTGCTTTGTTTCGTATGGTGAGTGTAGAGAATCAGAGGCTATTTTTACTGGAAACAAGGCATTCTATCTTTGTCTTCAGGGGTGAAAACGCATTTGTATTTAGATTCATAATCGAGAATAAAATGTAGATGTCTCTGGGCCACAGCATCCACTTACAGGTGGACGACTGTGTATTCGTTTGTCACCATTATTCCATAAAAAAGAAGAACAAAAAATAAAAGCAGCTTGTACCCATTTTTAAGCATATTGTGTACCCGGAGAAATATGAGATTTGGCATAGTTAAAGTTTTGTATTGAGAAGGAATGCAGAAAGTTAACATTCATAAATATCGTGTGTTTCAAATATATTTAAAATTACTTGTTTACGTTCATACTGCCAATGTCAAACTCATAATAGTCTGTGGTTAAACAGTCGCAACAGAGTAGAGATCGTGGCCGAATAATTTTAAATTGCCTACAAATAAATATAGAAAAATCGACTAAATGAGCTGTGAATTTATAATGTTCCTTTTTCAATATACTGGGAAGTGTATGTAAAAGTAAAAAGCATTTATTTATATTTTATATATGTTGTATATTAGATGTTTTGATTTGAATATCTGTGTTTTATGCAACAACGTGTAGTTGAAATTGTATTATAGCTCATTTAATAAACAAACTTCAAAAAATTTGAAATACGGTCGATTTTCTACTACTATAGTGTCAGCGTTGAAGCATGGTGCAGGTGACAGCTTACAGTTTACCGTGTGTAGAATATCCATAATATTGGGTTTAGAGATGGAACAATGTTAAATGGGTTTAAAAAAGGCGATTAACGATACACAATGCAAAGCAAACATTATCGATTAGCTATCGTTAAAATTAAAAATCGGAACATATAATTCTTTATAAATAAATTGCAATATATGTAAATTTTAGTAAATACAAATTACGACATTATATTTACATATTACTAGCTTGCTAGGCAGAAGTTTTTCTGTCCTTTTTGACGACCCTTTGTCATGTCCTATTAAAAATAATTAAATTAGCAAAAAAAAATTGTGGGTCACTCATGGGCAAAAAACTATTCTATCTCTCAAGTTGGACCAAACTGAACACGGTGTGCACATTTGATTAAAATCGGTTAAGTAGTTTAGGAGTCCATCGCGGACAAACAACGTGTCACGTAATTTATATATATTACATATAATATGTGTACTGTATTGAATAAAACGATTTATACAATTTTTTTTTTTATAGAAGAGGGGGCAAACGAGCATGTGGCTCACCTGATGTTAAGTGACTACCGCCGCCCATGATCAACCGCAACACCAGGGGAATTGCAGGTGCGTTGCCGGCCCTAAAATACCATAACGGCCATAAATTTTATCGCGTTCAGTGAAATTATTTTTAATTCCCGACGTTTTGGGTGCTTTACAGAACCCAGGGTCACAGGGGACTGAGATGTTTGACGTCCCATGTAGTGTTCGCGGAAATATAAGAAATCATGTATTAAATTGAAAATAAAATTTATTATAATATATACTATTTTTTATGCAGCACCTTGATTTTTAGTAGGTACGGCGTTGACTACAAGTGCAGATTATCAAAATAAACGTGCTTGCGCCTTTAGCTATGTATTATTATGTCTATAAGGGTTGCCAGGTCCAGTGAGTCAAACATCGGGGCAGAAGGTAAAAATAATTTAATATTTAGTTTACAAATCTAATTTAAAAAAAAACAGAATTTTGTAGCCATTTTGCCACCATGAGTTAGACTAGTCTTTTGACTATTGTGCTTTATTATGCATCAGAGCAACGTGCCATCTGGATAATATTACAAGTAGGGTTTAGGTCCCGGGACGTCTCGTGTCTCGAAGTCCCGGGACTTTTCGTAATTTTAGTTGTCTCGAGTCCCGGGACTTTCGAGTCGAGACCGGAGACGAGACAAAATTGTCGAAATTGTTATGTTGTCACTTTTATTTTCAAATAATTGAAGGAGCCTAGCGCCATCTGTTAGTTAAATTAAAAAAGGAGTTTCAGTTGTGTGAAGCAACCGGAAATCGTACAGAAAGTTTACAACTACCGTATAAAGCCTTAAACACGATTAAATCGACATCTGTTGAAAACGAGAGTGTTCGTTTTCCTTGTCCGGTATTCCGTAAATATTTATATCCGGCATTATTACAAAACTCAGAAACAGATTGTCAGACAAATCAGTTAACGTTTTGATTTTTTAAAAGCAAAGTAAATTTTATTAGATCATTTCATTTTATTTAGATTACTTGTATATTTAAATATTTTATTAACAATTCCATTTTTTGTTAATTAGTAATAAAAAAAGAGTTAAATTGAATGAAAAAACTTGTGTAGGTTGTGATGTCATTATATCCGTTGAGGCTTTGAGCTAATCGCAATCACGCTATACTTTTGTATTTTCTATATTCGGATCACCATGTGCCATAACAAAATATATATAACCTGTATTATGCAACGACATATTTTTATTTTGAAAACG